TTGAAGATGGGTGTATTTAAAATTAAGGTAAAATTATAATGGGCTATAAATAATGGGCCGCCCGTTTACCTAGATCTATAAAGAAAATTAAGCTAGTGTTACTTTAAAGTATAGATTAATTTAAGACGTTTATAATCCTACACAGTGGCGTAGCGAGGTCGGGTGTCACCCGGTGCGGCACTTAATGGTGTCACCCCCAGAGGCGTAGCGACCCTTCCCGGGGACAAACTTTCAAGTTTTCGATTTGCACCCCCCCCCCCCCCCTCAAACTTTCGATTTGCACCCCCCCCCTCAAGTTGTTCTCTATATATTTTGCTATTTTTTTGTCTTGGTGTCACCCCCCCCCCCCTAAATGGTATCACCCGGTGCGGTCCGCATCCCCCGCCCCCCCCCCCCTCGCTACGCCCCTGATCCTACATACTCCTTTAGCATCTTGATACTGTATTAATTATGTTTCTTTTTTTTTTAACACTGCATTTACAGGAAGAAGAAAGAACTAATCGTGGAGGAGGCCTTAGTCCCGTTTGAATAGACGCTTTGAGAGCAATTCTTTTTCAACTTGTAGTTTACTCCAAGCCATTTTAAAGCCAGTTATCAAACTTTTTACAACACTCCATCGGTTTTAAAAAGTTAGAATGTGAAGGGAATTAAAGTGGATTCGGTCAGTCGATGGACTAAAATATAAAGTATAGTCTGTCAATAAAAATTTCAAAGGAGATAGACTTTATTTTGTTAATCTTAACGATGTAAGTATCTTTGACTCCATGAATGCTACAAAAGTACTGTTGAATGCCCACACCGTCCCCTCTCCCCCCTTCCCCCTCTAGGCAAAACATTACCCGACGGGCAAGAGATGCATTTCACTGACATATGACACTATTTCGAGTGGCATCCGATACGATTTCTGTCTTGACATGTCTCTGGCATGACACGTGGCTTTGATCTGTCATGACCTATGACATTCCGCTGTCATGACCTATGACATTCTTCTCTCATGACCCATGGCTTTCCTCTGCTATGACCCCATGCATACATCTGTCATGACACCTCTATATCATGATTGACAACTTCACTTCCGTCCATTTAAATCTCCGCCTTCTTCAAATTTTAGACACATTCAAAATTCTGGGGCTTTAATGTAAGGGCATTCATATCAAAGTATAAGAATACTTTTAGTATTTGCATTTATCACTTGACGTCTAGAGGTTTTAGTGTTATATATCATTGTAGCAAACTAGGTAGTTTCTTCTTTTAATTTTCTGTTTATCTTATTGATTTAGTATTAGTCTATTCACAAAGACAAACAATTAATCATTTTATGTTAGAGAAGTATAAATAATTTAATCTTAATTACATTTGCCAATGTGTAATGTCAATGTGTAAATATATGTCAACAATGTTGACAGTTCATGTTAGTTTTCATTCTTTGAATAAAAAAAGTGACTGAATTATTGATAGAATTGTTGTTATTGATTTTACATAAACATGTGTGATGTCTTTTAAACTTAGTGATCAAAGTTTTTATATTTACATCAGACTGCTCGTGTCAAATTACATTTGTTTTTAAAAAGTTTATATTGGTTATCAAAGTATTTTATTTGTAAGTGTTACAAATAGTTGGAAAATTAAATCTTCATAAAATACAACGACCGGCACAATCACAAGAATGATAAACATTTTAAAATGATGTTTTCCTAAAGCTATTAATATTGTGGGTTGTATAAGGTAGATAATCAGCCACAGTAAAATTTGCAATTTTATTTAATTCAAAACTTTAAAAGTTGAAAAACTATTTTTAAAAAATACAACAAAAATCAAAGATATACACAAAGAGAATTTTTTTTTAATTATTAAAAAATTAAATTCTATTTTACTTTCTCTTATAACACACTTGGGGGACGGAGTGGCCTAGCAGTAGAGGGATAGACTGTTAACCCACAGGTTAAAGTATTGATTTCGGATATTGGCTGGCCATTCCGCAGACTGACAAGCACATGTCTGTGGCTGTACTTAGAAGTATGTTTGTATATGCCTATATAAATAAATAAATACATGAACTATAAAAATATGCATATACATATATATATATATATATATATATATATATATATATATAGAGAGAGAGAGAGAGAGAGAGAGAGATATACATAGATATATATATATATAGATATATATATATAGATATACATAGATATATATATATATATACATATATATATATATATAGATACGCATATATATATATATATATATATATATATATATATATATATATATATATATATATATATATATATATATATATACGCATACATATATATATATATATATATATATATATACGCATATATATATATATATATATATATATATATATATATATATATATATATATATATATATATATATATATATGGGTGTATATATATATATATATATATATATATATATTGGCCTATATATATATAGATATAGTATTTATATATGTATGGTATTTATATATATGGTATATATATGGTATATATATATATATATATATATATATATATATATATATATATATATATATATATATATATTCATATGTATATATACTTACTTATATGTGTATATATTTATATATACATTTATTTATAAATTTATTTTTGAAAATATTTTCGAACCCACCCCCTTCCAATCCATTACTAACTCCTGTCTACACGGACTTGTGCGCACTATATCTGGCCGGCGTTTCAACTGTACACAAACACAGTTGTAAAGCAAGAGACGAGTATTGCGTATTGCGCTTTACGTAAAGTAAAAACAGAAACGTTTTAATAATATTTATTAGATCCTGGTTTGTTTTAGATATATTTAATTACTGCTGCAAACGTCATTATAAATAAACACTAGGAACGGGAGACACGTGGGTGGGTGGTGTGTATATGTGTGCAGCGGCGTCGCGAGGCGAGGGGGGTGCGGATCGCACCGGGTGACACCAGTTAGGGGGTTGACATCAAGGAAAAAATAGCAAAATATATACAGAAAATTGATAATTCCACTTAATTAAATGATTCATTAGAGTGAATTAAATAGTCTTTTAAGAGCAAAGTTGACAAATCCCGACAAGGGTTGAGAGGGGGGGTGGGGGTGACACCAAGACATGAACCTGCTAATGTTGGAGAAAACATGCTACATCCAGCTGTATTTATAACCGAATATAGATAAAAATCGTTAGTATTATCTCAGCACAGTTTAAAGCAATCACCTTGGTGGTGGGGTGAGGGGGGTGGTCGGTTTACATCAACTCAACGTTGCAAAATATTCCTGAGGAAAATGGTGTGGTTGAGAATTGTGTTGATCCATTTATGGGGGGGGGGGGGGTAATTAAATATATCCAGAAAAATTATATTTGAATACAAATAAACATGCGTATAGACATACTTACAAGTGTATATGGAATATATATATATATATATATATATATATATATATATATATATATATATATATATATATATATATATATATATATAATTATTTTTTTCTTACGAGAGGGGGGGTGGGCGTGTGACACCAGTAGGTGCCGCACCGGGTGACATTTGACCTCCCTACGCTATTGTGTGTGTGTTTTGGGGGGGGGGGTAGAAATCAGGGATGCATTTTTTCACGATATAATTATCACCTCGCCTCTGAAATAACATGTAGGCCTATCAGTTGTTTCCGTTTTTGAATTACGCAGCAGTAGATGATTGTTTTCCAAGAAAAAAAAACTTACATAATATTTGTCACATTGGTTTTACCCACTGCTTTGTTTTTTAAACACCAGAGCTCAAACGTGCCAAGAGTTGAACCGGACATTACAATTATCTGACAAACAGATTGTAAAAAGCCACGTGACAACCCAGAAGTCAACCTTCTGGAATTCTCCATCTCCGGTCAGGCTGGTGTATATAAAGGGCTACATGGGCAAAATCTGGGACTAAGATTTTAATGAACATTTACCTTTAACCAAAGCGTGAATAACAATAATCCAAGGTAAATATATTCTTTATTTTTTACACTATATTTTTACACTTTTTTTTTCAAATTCTATTTGTATGGATAGTATCTGAATGCTGTTTACTTTTGCCGCCGTAAAATTTGGGTATCTTATAAAAAATGTTAAAAGTTTAGCTTTACCAGGTAATAAGCAAGCATATCAAAAGTTAGATTTTTTTAGCATATTTGTAAATTTTATATTTTACGTAAAATGGTCTGCTCTTAATGTTTTTTTTTTAATATAATAATATTTGTATGACTATAACTGTAACTCGGGATATATATATATATATATATATATATATATATATATATATATATATATATATATATATATATATGCAATTATATCTTTAAGGCCTAAACGGTATCTCCCCGTATTGGGATTTAACGTCACTATATTCCCGCAACTGTCACCCATTCAAAGCAACACAACCTTACTCATGTTGTTGAGATCTTTAGTGCTATAATTTGAACATGACATATTTTCAGGACGATGGCTGCTATACTAAAGTTAACATTTGTTGCCCTGCTGGTGCTGATGGCCACTCTACCACAACACTCAGATGCCAATGTCATTGGAAGCTGTTGGGACACATGGAGCCGTTGTTCTCAGTAAGCCGGAAGCTGTTTGAGCTTTTGAAATTCACCATTGCTAGTTGTGTCAGTTAAAAATATAAAACTTGGTGTTACGTTTTGTATAATCAATATATTTTGTTTTTTCCCCCTCGCAATCTGTTTACTTTTATACATAATAAGACATACTCTACCATCCCCGAAACAAACTAGACACATTTTAAAAATTAAATAGAAATGCTTTAATTTCTTCCATCGGAAAGTTTCAAATACCGGCCCGACTATCCCACTTCTCTTTCTTCGAATCAAATCGTCTAAAAGCGATCCTGAAAATCACCCAATGTTTACTCCTAATTTATAATCTCCAATATCTATTGTGGCAGGTATTTAAAAAAAAACTAGTTCAACATTGTGTTTTATATACCGGTAAATGATTTTTATCCGAAATTCTAAATGGTACATCATTTTTTTTTCATCTCGCAGGTGGAGTAATTTCTTTACAGGCAAGGCCTGGCTCAACTGCAACGACAAGTGTAAGTCTTTGGGGAAGAGGGGTGGCACCTGCGTCTTAACGCCTTCAACGTGCCCCATCGCCAGACAGGCGTACCAGTGTCGCTGCAACTAGGGAAAACAAAAGGATACGAGTCATTCGTCTTGAGACAAAGGGATGCAACTTGTTCTTACCAATTTCTGTCTGAGCGTTTGGCTTTAGCATTTGTAGCTACTATTGTATCAATCATAAACTTTGACTAGTGTAATTGTTTTTATATATATATATATATATATATATATATATATATATATATATATATATATATATATATAACAGTTTTATGCTATATTATTTTATATCATTTATATTATTTTTATTTAAACATGAGTATTCAATAAAGTTCTACAGAAAAAAATCAGCTAGTTGATTTATTATATTTTGCTAAATTAATTTTTCTTTGAAAATGTGTGATCTGTTTGTACAATAATGATGAAATAAATAAAGAGTCAGGATTACTCAAGAGCAAAAATAATTTTGAGAGGAAATATACACAAAGCAGAAGAGGCTCATTAAGTTGAAGCATCTGAAACTTTTGTGGGTAGGGGGACGGACTAGTAAAAGTGTATATTTTTTATATAAATTATATTTCGTTCGGGTAGCGGTCCGTCCTCTCCCCCCCCCCCCCTTCCAAAGAGATGCTTGAAAAAAATAATACTGCTCAAACATTTCACTTGGCTATTCCTGCATTCTTTTTCCTTAAGGCGGTTGTCTGAATTGGATCATTAAAACCTAATTAAGAAAATTACCATTTAAAACTCTATCTCTCGCCCGTACTGGGTGTGTCTAGGGCAATACATCCAAAGCTGGCGGACAGCATCAGAATCAAGAATCCAGCACCTCTCTCACCAATGCAAGGCCCGTGGATGTGAATGGATGGTGCCAATGTACTATGAAAACCCCAAAGTTTCCGGGATTCAAACCATAAACGATTTACAACTGCTGCTGCGTGCGCTTCAACAAGACCACAGCTGTTTGTTAAACTAACGGGTTTTTTTTTTTAAATATTGTAACAAAAAATCGGTCTTAGGTGCTTTGACCACAGGTGCTTTGATCATAGGGGGTTTGACCATAGGGGGTTTGACCACAGCGGAGCTTTGACCATAGGGGGTTTGACCATAGGGGATTTGACCATAGGGGGCTTTGACCACTGATGGGCTTTGACCACTGATGGGCTTTGACCATAGGGGGTTTGACCACAGAGGGGCTTTGACCACTGATGGGCTTTGACCACTGATGGGCTTTGACCATAGGGGGTTTGACCACAGCGGGGCTTTGACCACTGATGGGCTTTGACCATAGGGGGTTAGACCACAGCGGGGCTTTGTAATAAAACATACCTTTCATAAAATATCGATAAACAATCAGCAAAAATACACCCACCGTAATTAAGCTAAACAAAATGGTGTCACGACGTGATAGGTACAACTTTTAAAGGAAAAATTAAAATACATGGCCCATTTGTGGGGTTTGGGGAAGTACAACGGACGGCCTCGAGTCGTTGTTCTAAGTAAATTTGGGGCCTTACGAATTTTTAAAAAAAATTTGGTATATTTGTTTTTACATTTTACTTGTAAACTCAAATAAAGTGATAGCACAGTTTCTTGTGCGTGAAAGATAATCTTCTTCTTCTTCGTTCTAAATTTTAGTGTTAGAATGGATTCCCTCCAACACAAGTATACGTGTCAACTTGTTATGCGCCATTGCGGCCATTGACTCCGATTTCAGCCTGTTTTTCTTTTTGGATTTGCTTCCATAGCCTTTGTCCAACCAAGAACAAACTACAAGGCAGCAGTTGTTTGAATTCGGAGTTCTCTCTCCTAGAAGAGTGGCTGTCCCCCAGCTAACAAGCCTTGTCTGCCCGAGGGTTCGAAACGAGTCTTTTCGGTTTAGCATCCATGAGCTTTACCGACTCGACCACGTCGACCTCTTAATTACACAAACATAAAAAAAATGACTAGTCCTCGCCTCATATATTACAAGTTAAGGGGGGGGGATGTATATGAGTGCGTCATCCGACCGAATGACGTCACTTCGTTAGATCCTTAAGACTTAATACTTTGATAAAGTACCTTTCTAAAAAAATTTCTCTCTCTCTCTCTCCTATGCTGGGCATTGAAAAATTAAGTGGCTCATGCGATGTTATCAAGAATGACGGACAGCAACAACACTAGCAGTGTGTGTTTCTTTCAGACTTTTTTCTCTTTTGGTATGAAATCGTGACTTTAACCACTGGACCACGCCACCCACTCAAATTCACGAACTCGAACCCTTAACGATTTAGAAGTACAGCTAAGTGCGTTATAACTCGACCACAGCTGCCTGTTAGACTAACCTACATTGCTTAAAAATTCATATAAAACATAAGATATGCTGCTTAATGTTGCTGATAAAAAAATATAACAAAAATACATCTATTTTTTCATTTCCCTGAATTATTTTGGGTACTCATCTGAGCTGGTTGAACTCAAGGACATACTTCACACTCGAACTTGTAATGGAACTTCAAAATAGCTCAAGTACTGGCACATTGCACCGCACGACCGCGCGGTTCAACAAATAGGGTAGCGCTAAACAAATGTGTAGACAGCCTCGTAACATGTAGTACAACAGGGGAAATAACTGGTAATTTTTTTCTTTCCATTTGCACTGTCAGATCGCTACAGGATGTTGATATTTCTTCCTCACATGGTACATAGCACCAAAAAATAAGGGGGGGGGGGGGTCGAGGTTTGTAGATAAATGAATGGGGGGGGGGGGGGTATGCTTGGGGGAAGGGTTAGGGTCGGAAAGATATATGTCCAGTGGCGTAGCAAGGTCGGGAGTCACCTATATATATATATATATATATATATATATATATATATATATATATATATATATATATATATATATATATATATATATATATAAATATATATATATATTCCATATACACTTTAATGTGTGTGTATACGTGTATACGCATGTGTATATGTATTCAAATATTTTTCTTCTGGATGTATGGATTAACATATAGCTTATTACGATTCTCAACCAAACCGTTTTCCTCGGGCATATATATTGCAACGTTGAGTTTATGTAACGCCCCCCCCCCCCTGTCACCCCCACGGTGATTGCTTTAAACTGTGCTCAGATAATACTATTTGTATCTATATTCGGTTATAAATTCAGATGGATGTTGATTGTTTTCTTTATCATTAGCATGGATTTGTCCATTTTGCTCTTAAAAGACTATTTAATTCACTATAATTAATCATTTAATTAAGTGAAATTATCATTTTTCTGTATATATTTTTCTATTTTTTGCCTTGGTGTTACCCCCCCCCCCTTAAATGGTGTCACCCGTTGCGGTCAGCACCCCCCCCCCCCCCATCGCTAGGCCTCTGTATATATGACACATGACTTTCATGGCGCAAATGTGCGTTGTAACGGTGGATCTCTTGTTTCTAGAGCTTGAAAATTTTTTGAACCTAGATCATTAGTTTTGTGTACCTATATTTGGTGGATGTCCTGGTCCTAGATTTGGTGGATGTCCTGGTCCTAGATTTGGTGGATGTCCTGGTCCTAGATTTGGTGGATGTCCTGGTCCTAGATTTGGTGGATGTCCTGGTCCTAGATTTGGTGGATGTCCTGGTCCTAGATTTGGTGGATGTCCTGGTCCTAGATTTGGTGGATGTCCTGGTCCTAGATTTGGTAGATGTCCTGGTAATAGAAGTTGCAGATGTCCTATTCCTAGTGTCGGAATTTTGTTTAGGTTAAACAAAACTATTCCACCCAGCTCTGATGGTTACCTAACTCTCGTTAGGGAAAGTAAAGGCGAAGTGCTGAAGACACCATCCCTACATAAGCCAAGGTCAAGAAACACATGCATTCTACTTTATCTGCCAAAGGGATCGCTAGGTCTAAGGAGTATTGTTTACATTTACTTTAAAAAATATTATAGTTTAGTGCAGTGGTTCCCAACCTTTTTCGAGTGGCGACCCCCTTTTATAAAAAGTAAGTGACCCGCGACCCCCATAGAATTAAAAAGCCGAAATTAGTATGGAAATTAATAAGCACTAAAATAAGATTTTCTAGAAGACTTTCAATATGAACTACTCTTGATAACTATTTTAATAGCATGAGTAAAATTGCATACTATTCATCTAAACCTTCGTGGTTAAGTTTTTAATTTTAAAAAAAATTTTGTTAATGCCAACCTATGTCATTATCATTATCTTAATTTTGTTTTTAATCGAAGAATAGTGTTGAAAATATATTCTCGAAAAGGCAATCAATTTTACGTTTGGGTATGAATGGTGAATACTACACCAAAATTGTGTCTGCAGTTTTTCATCTTACTCGGAATCATTCTGCAAATCAAAGAATAACTTGTAATTAATCGGGAATGCTGGCAACATCAAGGGAAGAAGAGAATGGGTAATGCGTAAATGCAGATTCTTCCTTTTTCAGCTCAGAGAAATAGCGATGCAGTTCGTTTTCAAGAGATTCAAGATGCCCAGAAATCGCTTCTTTCAAAATTTTAATTATCATCTCACAATCAGATTCATCTACCACACTGCAGAGTTTCTCAAATTTACAATATTTCCAAGATTTATTTTCTTTACCGATTTGCAGCTTTGATAAAAATGCCCCGAGATTATCATGGAAAGTTATAATATTCGTTCATTTTCCCTGAAGCTTCAGGTTAAGCTTATCTTGATGTTCGAACACATCTGCTAGGTATGATACTCTCTCCAACCACTCTATGTCGTTTTAAGTATACCAAAAAATCTTGTTTCCTTTGCACTTTCAAGAACAATTTGATTTCAGATTTCAATTCAAAAACACAATTTACAACATTTCGTTTGGCAGCCAGCGTACTGTAGTGTAGAAGAGCAGAACCTCGTGATCTACATTAATGTTTTTGCTCAGGTCTTTTAAGGCTCCAGGTTTTATATAATTTACGACTTATACTAGCAATGAACTCTTGATGTCGATTGGTTAGGGCAGTGGTAAGGGAGCTAAATCTTTTCTGTTTTCTGAAAGCCCGATTTTGAGCTAAACATAAATTGCGCACCATCCGTACAAATACCCCACAGCCGTTCTAACCCATTTTAATCATCCAGTTTCAAAAAAGGTATTTATTTTCTCCAGGCTATCTTCACAAAAGAGCAACTCTTCTTTGCTATCATCCGCATGAATATAGACACAGACCAGCAACTGCGAACACGAACTCACGTCTGTTGATTTATCAACTTGAAAAGCAAACAATGGTGAAAGCTTAATATGAATAAAAATGTGTTATTTAACATTTACGTACATGCAGCGTTTGATGAGATTTTCTCCTATTGTTTTTTTTTTTTGCTTGGCATTTTCTATCGCGAATTCATTTGATGCTTGCACTAATGCTGGTGAAAACATCCTGTTCGATCAAGTCTCTGGCGTTTGCTACTAGCTTCTTAACGATGAAAGAACTAAATATATGTTTTGGTATGTTCTGAATGACTTCTAAATATTTATGTTTGGTTTCAGATTACTAAGGTTTAGTATACCAGTTGGCGACCCCCCAGAAAGACCTTCGCGACCCCCCTGGGGGTCGCGACCCCCAGGTTGGGAACCCGTGGTTTAGTGCCTCCATTTTATTGGAAGGTTCTGACATTTTTTTTTTTCCTTTTGAGCAATAGTCATGTGTACCAAGTCAAAGGGGGTGGGGTGGGAACTTGGGACGCACCATGCTAACTATCGAGAAAATCATAAAATTTTCCTTCGTTCCTTTGAATTTAAATAGTGTGTTCACAAATGTATCACCTATATTTTTTTATTTGGTCAGGGGGGTGTCGCACCGGGTAACACCCGACATAGCAAGACGCCACTGTCTGTGGCATATAATTTCTAGTGCCGCCTATTTCAAATAATTTAAGTCCCTGTAAAGTCTAACTACAGTCTCAAACAACAATTTACACTTTGACCTTTGAACTCAATTCACTTGGGGATTCCCCGTCTCTAGTTGTATTCTATTTATTTACTTAAAAAAAAAAAAATCAAAGGTCCGTAAGCACGTAATGCCCGGCGTATTTTCACCAGCTATTTATAGTGGTAAAATAAAAAACCGAACATCCGTGTTGTGAGTTGTGAATATAAACGAGGGTCAATAGGTAATGTATACCTGAAGACGGAAACGGGCCAGGTAAATAAATGAAAGAGTAGGTACCTGTCAAGAAGGATGATCTTTGGATTAAACACTGAGATGTAATAAAAGATAGTAGAGAGATTATTCGCATTTGATTAATGTAATCTAGGATACTTTAAAAAAAAAAACTTTTTTGTAATAAAAAAAGTATACAGATACATAAAAAAAGTAAAGTATTATTAAACTTTGAGAAATATACATCAAAACCAACATTACAAAATTTTTAAGACATTGTGATATCAACGTATTATATTACAAGTTTTAACTTAGGTCAAAATGTCTGACTGGATTTGTGGTCAATATGTGGTCAATTTTGACAATCATTTTTTTACCATCTTCAGGTGCAGCGATTTTAACTTTCCACGCAAATAATTCGTTGGCTATCTCATTTTCAATCTAATGCTATATTAACTTGGTCAGTAAAACGGAATTTACTAGATAACATGAGGGGGAAATTAATGCCAAATAAAAAGAGGGGAGATAACAAGGGTAAATTCAAAATGCTAACAAAGATTAATATAAAATGAGGGGAGATAAAAAAAATAGTGAAATGTGAAAAGAGGGGAGACAACAAAGATTATAAAAATGTACAGTGAGGGGAGATAACAAAAATAAAGATGTGGAGACCACTCCAGCACTCAGGTGAGCTGTTGTTCACGGAAATTTTCATACCTGAGGTCCGGCCGCAGAGATAGTGGCAGATAAATGCCAGTCATAATTTCTGATTAATGCCGCTAGTCAGTTTACTGATCGGGTTTTAAAAATATCTAAATACTATACAGTAGAAAATAAATCTGAAAACCTTAATTTAAAAATTACCTTAAATTAAATAAATGTAAGAAGAGCAATAAGAAATTATTAGCAATTCTAGTTTTTAAAAGTGTGTGATGCTCAGAAATCTGCTCAATGCATTGTTCGTCAAACGATTTTGTTTTTATCAGTTTATATTTATATATTCTTAATTTAAATCGTTTAAATTAATTAAGTTCTTTGTTTAAATGTAAAACTACAGCACTTAAACTACCTTCTTCAACTTCTATCAGCGGGTAAATAAAATGAAATTTTAGCCCTGGAGGGTGATCCATGAATGACATCTCCATGTAATAGACTGGCAGATTATGACTTAAGATACTTTGTGGGGGTGGGGGTCGGCAGGGGGGTATCTTCAGAAAATCGACGCAGCAATAATATAGTAAATCTCTACACTAATAAGTAAAAAAATACATGATACTTATTAGAGAAACGTATTATGTAAAAAAAAAAAACGTTTTGAGAAAAGTAATGATCAACAGTGATTATGTTAGAGAAAAGTAATGGCGAGATGATGTTGTTTAGGGGTTGTGAGCATTTTATGACGTGGGGTGAGGGGTGGTGAGATATTCTAAAACAGAAAAATAACAATTGTGAACGACATATAACATTTGACTTCGTACTGGAAACATATGTCAGAGGAAAAACACAAAATTTGCTGGAAAAAAAAAATATCAACAAAATTTTTCCAAATGTTTTTTTTTTTGTTTTTGGCGTTGGAAAGTAGGGCTTTGGATCGTGCTGAGTTTCACCCCGGATGTGGTAGAGGCTGTTTTCCCGGATGTTGAGAGAGGATGCAGACTTATAAAAGAGGAGCCGGACAAATCGGGGGCTCAAACTATCATTAGCCGGACGTCATATTTTTCAACAGTTTTAGTAATTAAAACTACAATAGGTAAGTAATTTGAGTAGATATTTTACCACTTCATGTTCATTGAAATTATTTTTTTGCTAATATAATAAAAAAAACGTTTACATTAATAACAAAATTTAGTGTTTTAAAATAAAAACATTGGTAGCTAAAATATATTCAAGTTTTTTGTGAGCGGAGAACATTCTTAAAAAATTCCATTTTAATGGCTTGAAATAGCTCTACATGATCGATTTTTTTACTATAAACACCTATATTTTAAAAGTTTAAGCAAGCTATTATTTTAACCTTTAAGTTGTCAAAGAGATTATTTTTCCACCAGGCTCATCAGTTATCTAAAAGACCAGACTAAGTTATAAAAAGGATATACCTATTGTTTTTTTTTTGTTTTTTTTAGCTTTATTTAAAACGTAGTCATTTTTCCGGATTTGTATCTTATTGTGATAGCTTCAGGGGAAGGGAGATTATAGATTAATGAAACTACTAATAGCGTGAATGTTAGTAATCGTGTTACATTAAGGCTAGGTTTTTTAAAAATCAGGTAACTTTATGGATAACAATTGAGACTAGTATTACATAACACAATATCGAGATTCGTGTTTTATTATATTTTTGTCCAGTGTTTTGGGTTTCAATGCAATAATGTCATATCTCTCTACGGGAGATGTAGAGGCGTACTTCGGGGAAGCAGCAGACAGAGGCAGCACTGTCATGGGGGACTGCCAGGAAAAATCCGCTTGGAGATGGGGGGGGGGGGGGCTTTACACATTTCTACACAGCCAGTCCACTCCTGGAAAACATCATCATCTTTTGTCGTTCGTGCTCCAGACACATAGAGCAGATGAAGTAGAGTTCATCTATTTCAATTGACCTCGCCATACGATACAAGGAATAATGGTGTGGCAATGTAGCAAAACGTAATACAGGGTTGTGGGTGGGGCTAAATAAAAATTAATGTTTACCTTACTTTAGAAAGACACGTACCTTGACATAATTTTAAAACGCAGGTAATCCCACCATGACGTCATCTCTGAAGATCAGCATCCTGTTCACCCTGCTGGCACTGACGGTTCTAGAGACACCTGTGGCAGGGGCCAGTCTGTCGGACTGTTACGAGACGTGGAGTCGCTGCTCCAGGTACGGTTGTTGTCCAAGCTGGCTCTAGTGTAAACATTTAATACACGCCCCTAGTGCACACGACATTTAATACACACCTTTAATACACTACATTTAATACACGCCCCTAGTGCACACGACATTTAATACACACCTTTAATACACGACATTTAATATACGCCTCTAGTGCACACGACATTTAATACACACCTTTAATACACGACATTTAATATACGCTTCTAGTGCACACGACATTTAATACACGCCTCTAGTGCACACGACATTTAATACACGCCTTTAATACACGACATTTAATACACTAGATACGAATATTGAGAAGCACAGGAATAAAACTTGATACATTGGGAGTTCTAAAAACTAACACACATAGCTTCCCCTTACGTTCCTCTTGGTGGCCTCTCGAAACTCTCATCCCCCCCCCCCTCCAAGTTATATACACTCTCTTTCTCGTACTCCAGTCTGTTAGCCATAAGCAAAACATGAAAAATACGATGCTTGATCGCTCACGCATCGACTTCCGATGTCCAGGTATTCAACTGTCACACATGATTCACTCCAAAAATAATATATAAAATTAGTCTGTTACAGGAAGCGTAACGATAAAAAAAATATATTGCTCAAGCTAATTAGAAGGTGAATTATTACAATTTCTTTTTCTGTATACACTTTCAAGGTGGAGCAGTTTCTTGACAGGAATTCTGTGGAAATCCTGCGATGACCGCTGTAAGAAGGACTTCAAGAAACGCGGCGGCCGATGCGTCAAAGTGCCATCCAAGTGCCCGACTTCCAAGAAAGCTTACCAGTGCCAGTGCTACTAATTTACCCATATTTGTGACCCCCCCCCCGCCACCTTCCCCACCTAAGACTTGCCCTTTTTTACATTCTCGTATAGAGAAAGTCTTGTAATCGTGCAAAAAAAATCGAGATTTTTACAAATCTCTACGTTTTACACCTCACTGATACGGAAAAACATAATTTTGCAATCTTGTCCGTATGTCTGTGTGTCTGTCTGTCTGCGTGTAAACACGATAACTTGAGTAACCGTTACAGCTAGGTTGATGAAATTTCATATATAAGTATTTTATCAAAATCTTAGATCCTGATCAACTGTTGAGCGATTTCCGATTACCGGAAGTGGTACTTTTTCTACTTTGAATTTTTCAAAAGCCTATAACTTGAGTACTATTTCAGAGAGATAAATAAAATTTTACATGTAAGTAAAAGATCTAATCCACTGCCTTCTGTCAAATTTTGAGTACTTTCCGTTGACCGGAAGTACTAATTTACGCTATTTTCGATTTCTCAAAAACGCATGTAAATTTATAAAGTACTAAAAATGTTGCGCACTATTATGCATATTTTGTTTTGGTGTTCACTTGGTGAGCAATTCTTTTTTCTATGAGATTCTATTCTATTTTTAAAAGTTTAAGTAATTAAAAATCATGTCTATATTTCAAGTTATATAAAAATATTCGATAAAATTTAGGGGGGATCACTCCCGGTTTATTTACGTCTAACGCCTATGCCGTAACTCCGCTCCGTGGTTGTATTTTCTTTACTTACGTCATAATGTATGCCTCTTATATTTTTTTAAATGTTATCAGAGATGTCACTTGTTTTTTACAATTTGCGATGTCAGTACTGATGTCATTATTTAAAATGTCAAAATGTCATTTATTCATTACATTTTTGTAACCTTAACTGTTTTGTCTTTTCTTTGTCTTTAAGCACTATACGCAAAGTCAGTAATACTTTTTACTCTGCCGTTAGCAATGTCAGTAATACTATTCGTAATGTTTTTAATGATGGCATTCGAATTTTTGTTACAATACACGTCTGTATAATCTAATAATAAATATACTACAATATTGTGAGATGTGTCTGTTCTAATTTGTCACGAATTAAACTAGTCCTGCTGCACCTATCTACACCCTGACTTATAAGAATGTCACGTGTGGAGGCCTAGTCTCAACATTTGTGGAGGTTTAGTCTCAACACTTGTGGTCCAGTCTCAACACTTGAGGTCTAGTCTCAACACATGGAGGTCTAGTCTAAAAATTTGTTGAGGTGTAGTCTCAACACTAGAGGTCTAGTCTCAACACATGAGGTCTAGTCTCAACACTTGTAGAGGTCTAGTCTCAACACATGGAGGTCTAGTCTCAACATTTGTGGTCTAGTCTCAACACTTGTGGAGGTCTAGTCTCAGCATTTGTACAGGTCTAGTCTCAACACTTGTGGAGGTCTAGTCTCAACACTTGTGGAGGTGTAGTCTAAACACTTGTGGAGGTCTAGTCTCAACATTTGTGGTCTAGTCTCAACAGTTGTGGAGGTCTAGTCTCAACACTTGTGGAGGTCTAGTCTCAACACTTGTGGAGGTCTAGTCTCAACACTTGTGGAGGTCTAGTCTCAACACATGAGGTCTAGTCTCAACACTTGTGGAGGTCTAGTCTCAACATTTGAGGTCTAGTATCAAAACGTGAGGTCTAGTCCCAACATTTGTGGAGGTCTAGTCTCAACACTTGTGGAGGTCTAGTCTCAACATTTGTCGAGGTCTAGTCTCAACATTTGTGGTCTAGTCTCAACATTTATGGAGGTCTAGTCTCAACACTTGTGGAGGTCTAGTCTCAACATTTGAGGTCTAGTATCAAAACGTGAGGTCTAGTCCCAACATTTGTGGAGGTCTAGTCTCAACACTTGTGGTCTAGTCTCAACACTTGAGGTCTAGTCTCAACACTCGAGGTCTAGTCTTAACACTTGTGGAAGTCTAGTCTCAATATTTGTTGAGGTCGTCTCAACACTCGAGGTCTAGTCTCAACACTTGTGGAGGTCTAGTCTCAACACTTGTGGAGGTCTAGTCTCAACACTTGAGGTCTAGTCTCAACACTTGTGGTCTAGTCTCAACACTTGAGGTCTAGTCTCAACACTTGAGGTCTAGTCTCAACACTTGAGGAGGTCTAGTCTCAACATTTGTTGAGGTCGTCTTGACACTCGAGGAGGTCTAGTCTCAAAACTTGAGGTCTATTCTCAACATTTGTCGAGGTCTAGTCTCAACATTTGTGGAGGTCTAGTCTCAACATTTGTGGAGGTCTAGTCTCAACATTTATGGAGGTCTAGTCTCAACACTTGATGTCTAGTCTCAACATTTGTGGAGGTCTAGTCTCAACACTTGATGTCTAGTCTCAACATTTGTGGAGGTCTAGTTTCAACACTTGATGTCTAGTCTCAACATTTGTGGTCTAGTCTCAACACTTGATGTCTAGTCTCAACATTTGTGGTCTAGTCTCAACACTAGTGGAGGTCTAGTCTCAACATTTGTGGATGTCTAGTCTCAACATTTGTGTAGGTCTAGTCTCAACACTTGATGTCTAGTGTCAACATTTGTCGAGGTCTAGTCTCAACACTTGTGGTCTAGTCTCAACACTTGAGGTCTAGTCTCAACATTTGTGGAGGTCTAGTCTCAACACTTGTGGATGTCTAGTCTCAACATTTGTGGTCTAGTCTCAACACTTGATGTCTAGTCTCAACATTTGTGGAGGTCTAGTCTCAACAGTTGTGTAGGTCTAGTCTCAACACTTGTGGAGGTCTAGTCTCAACACTTGTGGAGGTCTAGTCTCAACATTTGAGGTCTAGTCTTAACATTTGTGGAGGTCTAGTCTTAACATTTGTGGAGGTCTAGTCTCAACAGTTGTGGAGGTCTAGTCTCAACACTTGTGGAGGTCTAGTCTCAACACTTTTGGAGGTCTAGTCTCAACATTTGAGGTCTAGTCTCAACACTTGTGGAGGTCTAGTCTCATCACTTGTGGTCTAGTCTCAACAGTTGTGGAGGTCTAGTCTCAACATGTGTGGTCTAGTCTCAACACTTGAGGTCTAGTCTCAACATTTGTTGAGGTTTAGTCTCAACACTTGTGGATGTCTAGTCTCAACATTTGTGGATGTCTAGTCTCAACATTTGTGGTCTAGTCTCAACACTTGAGGTCTAGTCTCAACATTTGTTGAGGTTTAGTCTCAACACTTGTGGATGTCTATTCTCAACATGTGTCGAGGTCTAGTCTCAGCATTTGTGGAGGTCTAGTCTCAGCATTTGTGGAGGTCTAGTCTAAACACTTGTGGAAGTCTAGTCTCAACATTTGTGGAGGTCTAGTCTCAACACTTGTGGAGGTCTAGTCTCATCACTTGTGGTCTAGTCTCAACAGTTGTGGAGGTCTAGTCTCAACAGTTGTGGAGGTCTAGTCTCAACACTTGTGGAGGTCTAGTCTCAACACTTGATGTCTAGTCTCAACACTTGTGGAGGTCTAGTCTTAACACTTGTGGAGGTCTAGTCTCAATACTTGAGGTCTAGTCTCAACACTTGAGGTCTAGTCTCAACACTTGATGTCTAGTCTCAGCCCTTGTGGAGGTCTAGTCTCAACACTTGTCGAGGTCTAGTCTCAACATTTGTGGAGGTCTAGTCTCAACACTTGATGTCTAGTCTCAACACTTGTGGAGGTCTAGTCTCAACACTTGTGGAGGTCTAGTCTTAACACCTGTGGATGTCTAGTCTCAATACTTGAGGTCTAGTCTCAACACTTGAGGTCTAGTCTCAACACATGGAGGTCTAGTCTCAACATTTGTGGATGTCTAGTCTCAACACTTGTGGATGTCTAGTCTCAACACTTGTGGAGGTCTAGTCTCAACACTTGTGGAGGTCTAGTCTCAACACTTGAGGTCTAGTCTCAACACTTGAGGTCTAATCTCAACACTTGAGGTCTAGTCTCAACACTTATGGAAGTCTAGTCTCAACATTTGTGGAGGTCTAGTCTCAACAGTTGTGGAGGTCTAGTCTCAACACTTGTGGATGTCTAGTCTCAACACTTGTGGAGGTCTAGTCTCAACACTTGTGGAGGTCTAGTCTCAACATTTGTGGAGGTCTAGTCTCAACACTTGATGTCTAGTCTTAACATTTGTCGAGGTCTAGTCTCAACACTTTATGTCTAGTCTCAACATTAGTGGAGCTCTAGTCTCAACACTTGTGGATGTCTAGTCTCAACACTTGATGTCTAGTCTCAACACTTGTGGATGTCTAGTCTCAACATTTGTGGTCTAGTCTCAACACTTGTGGAGGTCTAGTCTCAACATTTGTGGTCTAGTCTCAACACTTGTGGATGTCTAGTCTCAACATTTGTGGTCTAGTCTCAACACTTGTGGAGGTCTAGTCTCATCATTTGTGGTCTAGTCTCAACAGTTGTGGAGGTCTAGTCTCAACACTTGATGTCTAGTCTCAACATTTGTTGAGGTTTAGTCTCACAACTTGTGGAGGTCTAGTCTCAACACTTGTGGAGGTCTTGTCTCATCACTTGTGGAGGTCTAGTCTCAACACTTGTGGAGGTCTAGTCTCAGCATTTGTGGAGGTCTAGTCTAAACACTTGTGGAGGTCTAGTCTCATCACTTGTGGAGGTCTAGTCTCAACACTTGTGGAGGTCTAGTCTCAACAGTTGTGGAGGTCTAGTCTGAACACTTGAGGTCTAGTCTCAACAGTTGTGGAGGTCTAGTCTCAGCATTTGTGGATGTCTAGTCTAAACACTTGTGGAGGTCTAGTCTCAACATTTGTGGTTTAGTCTCAACAGTTGTGGAGGTCTAGTCTCAACACTTGTGGAGGTCTAGTCTCAACATTTGTGGAGGTCTAGTCTCAACATTTGTGGAGGTCTAGTCTCAACATTTGTGGAGGTCTAGTCTCATCACTTGTGGAGGTCTAGTCTCAAGATTTGAGGTCTAGTCTCAACAGTTGTGGAGGTCTAGTCTCAACACTTGTGGAGGTCTAGTCTAAACACTTGTGGAGGTCTAGTCTCAACACTTGAGGTCTAGTCTCAACATTTGTGGAGGTC